CCTCAGCCCAGCCTGCACCCTCTCCAATCTGGGACCCCTCGGGGGATGTCTGACTGCCGGTTTAGGCAGTCGAACATCCCTCTCATAATCTGGGACTGCTGGCTCCTAACCACTTGCCTGCCTACTGGCTTGATCACCACCTAACCGCTCCCCTGCTGGCCTGATGGCCCCCCGCTGCCCTCCCCTGCCAGCCTCATGGGCCCTAACCTAACTGCCTTCCCCGGCCGGCCTCATGGCCCCCAACTGCCCTCCCCTGCTGGCCTGATTGCCCCTAATCGCCTCTGCCTCGGCCCCCAACACCATGGCTTTGTCCTGAAGGAAGTTGGACGGTAGGAAGATGTCCGGTCTCCCGGTCTAATTAGCATATTACCCTTTTATTAGTATAGATGCCTCAGCCCAACTCTGCCTAGTTGGCTTTCCTACCACAGCAATGGAATGGATTCCCTCCAGCAGTCAATTAACTTCCTTCAGGAATTACTAATTCTTTTTGGTCCCCGTTGTACTGGAATATTTTCTTCACCATTTCTGCAATCCCAGGTCATATTTCCATAGATTATGAGGCAATTTGGATATATTACCAAAAGGAGCCTTTGTGTGTTGGCCCATAAATTGTAGAGGAAGGCCCTTTCTCTTTCTTGATGGTTTGGCAGTAAAGCTTCTGGAACTGGAATCTTCAGCTACCAGAGTACTCAGACAATTATTTTTACCTCAAAACAGCTATCACTGAAACATGAGTAAAAATTCAGATAAGTATAAAAGTCCCAAAACATGCAAATTAGTTACCAGTATGTAGACATTAACTTCTGGTAACATGAACATAGACACAGCACCATTAGTAGTGAATTCTGTGTAAGATAGACAGGCTCAGGCAAGGCTTGCTAGACTCTTATGTTCCTCTGTTGGTTGATTAGGCCAGAAACCGAATGAAATACCTACTTTATTCATGAATGGGATAGGCAGGGTCTCAGATTTGGTGTTTTGACATTTTTGAAAACAGATCCTAAAACACTGATACTCTTATTTAAAGCACATGATCAGAGGAATCCAAGACCTGCAGTTTGGATTGGCGAACTTGAAGCTTATAATGATCTTAATATCCTGATACCCTAGTAACTTATTCTAAGTAAAACAGAATTTACCAAACTGCTCAGAGCAAATGCTGAACTGCCTCACAGGGTGGACTGATTTTATTTCTCTGACTCCCCTGGAGAAGTTCCAAGTATCTGTATGTAAAGGTTCTGGCTCCTACAATCCAACTTACTGTTCTGAGATCAAGCACTCTCCTTTTATTTACACAGTGTAGTGATTTTACTGAAATTACTGCACAGAAAGTGCAGCCAGTTCTATTTTTAAGGGTAATGCTAGCCTGATGAAGGAGAAAATGAGATTCTTTTCTGTCCCTTCTAAAGTATGATAAATTTATGGAAACTTAAGCAGGTAGCACCCAGGAATAAAGCAGACATTTCACCTCATGGCATTAAGAAGAGAACTAAATCATTCACTGCTTTTAGTCATTTGGAAATGGTCCTCTTGATCATTTTATTTTTTTATTTATTGATTTTAGAGAGACAGAGGAAGTGAGACAGAGACAGAAACATCAATTTGTTGTTCCACTTATTTATGCATTCATTGGTTGATTCTTGTATGTGCCTGACTGGAGATCAAACCCTCAACCTTGGCATACCAAGATGACACTCTACTAACTGAGCTATTGGGCCAGGGCCTTTAAATTATTTTAGATGGTAGAGTGTGTTATAGGGTAGGGAGGAAATTTTCAGTTATGATTTCTTAAAAATTGTTGGCAACTTCTGGTCTTTCTACCTTTTCTAGGAAGGAATGAAATATTGGCCAGTTTATGCCCTCAAGTTTTCGGGGTGTATCTAGTAAAGCTGCTGTGGCCATGGTACTGGCTGGTGGGATTCAAAGGACGGATGCTACAGGAACACGAGTCAGAGGTTAGTACCTATTTAAAACTTTTGAAAAGTTGTAACACATATAAGGAGAGAAACGAGAATTTGTTTTTCCTGAGTAAAAATTGCTTTTTGAGCTTTACTTTGCAAATGTAGTCTTTTAAAGCTGACAGTTGTCTGGCTAATACTTAGCCCAACATCTGTATATCAGTAGCTACTTTCTAGAATTACAAAGACTAAAAGAAATCATAAATTTTTCAATGAGTAAGTTTTGCTCTAAGCTCTCAGGGTGTCACAAAATAAAATCTTCACATTTCTATTACTGTCTGTGTTTTTCATCAGATCCACCATCTTCTTTAAGAGGGAAAGATTAGCGTCCAGCCAGTGTGGTTCAGTGGTTGAGCTTCAACCTATGAACCAGGAGGTTCCGATTCAATTTCTTGTCAGGGCATATGCCTGGGTTGTGTGCTCGATCCCCAGTAGGGAGCATGTAAGAGGCAGCCTATCAGTGATTTTCATCATTGATGTTTCTCTCTCTCTCTTCCTCTCTGAAATAAAAAATATATATATTTTTTTAAAAATTTGTTTAAAAAGAGGAAAAGATTAGAAATAGTGCTTTTTAATGTCATCAAGTCAGCATCCCTCCATCTGTGACTGTCAGTGTGTTTCTCTCAGACTGCTGCTCTCAGTCATCTGCCTGCTGATTCCCCTTCTGCCGGTGGGTTGCAAATGTGCCATCTGCCATTTGGTGCTGCTGTAGGTCACACATTCAGGCAAAGATTACTCTATGTATGTAATTATGTCCAAGTGGCAGAAAGCTCTTTTGCTGCTAACACACTTAACTGACCTGAATCTGGCATAAAGTAGGTTTATTATGGTCTTTGTACAGGGCATATGAGAATCATAATAACCAAAGACTAGATCAAAAGACTCCAAATACATTAATGTCAATCAGGTGGTTAGTAGGTACTCTAAAACCATGTACTGCAGTATAGAATAGTAAATGTCATAAGGGTTATGTGTATGGTATGTTTTGATCACCCACTGTTTGCAAGGCACTCTGCTAAATGTTGTACCTAAATAGGAGTTTCCTATTAATACATTTAGAAAATACTTAAATATTACTGAAGAAATTTGTTCGATCAGTGATATAATACAACCACAGGATATTCATGTTCATTTGTGTTACATTTGAAAAAGAAGAGTACTTTAAGATAGATATTTCATTAAACTAGAAATTTTTTTAATGAAATGATTTTCACTTAACTGTTGAAATCATAAATGATATATTTATAAAGCACTTATAAAGTCCCACGTTTTCAGTATTTATTTATTTTATTTAAATTCTTTATTGTTTAAAGTATTACATGTCTCCTTTTTTCCCCATTGACCTCTCCCCAGCCGCTACCACTGCCCCCCCCCCCAGCATTTGGTATTTATTATTTATTTATTTTTAAAAATTCTCACCCAAGGATATTTTTCCCATTGATTTTCAGACAGAGGGGAAGGGAAGGAGGAGGAGGGAGAGAGAGAAACATTGATGTGAGATAGACACATCGATTGGTTGCCTCCTGCACATGCCCTGACTGGGGTGGAAACAAACCTTCAACCTAGATAAGTGCCCTTGACCAGGAAACAGGAATCAAACCTGTGATCCTTTGGTTCAAAGCTCTAACCACTGAGATAAACTGGCCAAGGTAAAAGTTCCACTTTTTCAAAGTGCTCAAATAAAAATATAATAAATAAAATCAGAAACTTTATAAGACAAATTTTAAAAAAAATAGTAAACATAGGCCTGGACATCTAGAAATAATACAAAGTCTATTAAGAAAATTTTTATTTTAAATGTCACCTTCAGAAATCATTTAAAGGTTGTTATTTATGATGACAGTTAACTTTGCTGAAGATATTTTAGTTAAATCTTTCCTCAAATGACCAAGTATACAACAAAAGCATTATCTACATATATAAAAGCCCAGCAACTGGAACGGTGGAATGACCAGAACGACCAGTGGCTATGACACACACTGCAGCAGCCAATCAGCTTGATCCAGGCTCTGATTGGGCCCGCCCCCCTGGCTGGCCCCACCCCTGATCTGCCCCAACACCCGGATCGGGGGCGGGGCCAGCTGGGGACCCCACCCATGCACGAATTCGTGCACCGGGCCTCTAGTATAAATTATACATTGTGTTGACAATCCAAGTGGGCCATTTCCTTTTTGATTAATTATACTTGTTCATAGAAATTTAAAACTTGACATTTACTTTTTTCTAGGTGAATCTCATCTTTTATTGGTTGGGGATCCTGGCACAGGGAAATCTCAATTCCTCAAATATGCAGCAAAGATTACACCAAGATCTGTGCTTACCACAGGAATTGGATCTACTAGTGCAGGTATTTTACATGACAATTTCATTTAATGTCACTACAGAAACTAATACAATTTTTTTTTCTTATTAAAAAGTACCTACAATATGATAAATTTCAAGCTAATTTCTGAGTTACTGCCAAAAATGGAAGGAAATATGTAGCATTTCTTTTGTAGCTCTTAAGAAAATATTTTAAAGGCTCCACCATCACTTATTTTCGAAAAACTTATTCTATACATCTTTTTGCATCTTAGTTTTGAATGATGCTATTCACTTTTCTCATAATCTAGTGATTATCTTCATACATACTTATGCATGAAAAAGTATGTATTAGCTGGCATTGAGGACCCAGTGAGCAGAACAATGAAATAAATTAAATAGGAGGGTAAAAATTTCACTTTACATAGATAGATCATGTTGCGCTTAAGGCATTTTTATGCTCATAGATCTCACGGGCAATGGAAGCTCCTGTGGAAAATTCTTAGGTAGAAAATGTCTTAATATGTGAAAAGTGTCTTTTCATCATTGCATTGTGCAGCTTTATTCACACATTCTAATGATTCTTCAACAATGCATTTAAAAGCCTTTGCAGATAGGATATCAAGATTTGATTACAAAGTGACTTTAGGAAAAATATATTTTAAAAGACATGTTTGATGCCATTTTGTATTTTTACTCCATTTTGACTGGGGAATTATTTCTCCTGTTCTTCTATAATGGGCCTTTGATTTTACACATTTTATAAATGTTATTTATTACTTGTCAGGGGAGCCTAACCCTGTGCTCAGATTTCTTATGAGAAGTGTATATTTTAAAGTTATCATAAAGCAGCAAATCTCCATTAATGGTCCTACATAATGAGAGCTCCATTCTAAGGAGCTGAACAAAGCATGCTCCTCCGATTTCTGAATGTTTTCTCAGCTCAGATGATACCCTCATTCCCTCCAACCTCCCCTTCGGTCTCTTCTGTGGCATATTGTTTGTTTTTATTTATCTTCCCAGGACACAGCTATTTACTATGATCAAAAAGGGGAAAAATAGTTCTAAACCTTCTAGTCATAATTCATATAGTGTCTGTAAATGAGGCTAAATGGGGGGGAAAAACTAGTTTCTCAGTTCCTAATGTTTAAATTCTAAATTTTTCTACTTTAATTTTAATATTTAAAATTATCTTATAGAACCATATTTTTTTTTAAATATATTTTTATTGATTTCAGAGAGGAAGGGAGAGGGAGAGAGAGAATCATTGATCGGGTGCCTCCTGCAGGCCCACAATGGGATCAAGCCCGCAACCCAGGCATGTGCCCTTGACATGAATCCAACCTGGGGCCCTTGAGTCCACAGGCTGACACTATCCATTGAGCCAAACTGGCTAGGGCATAGAACCATAATTTTTAATAATAGTTTTAAAGTCTCAAACTTCTGTGAAAATTGGCTGTCCTATATAAAAGCCCAGCAACTGGAACGGTGGAACGACCAGAACGACCAGTGGCTATGACACACACTGCAGCAGCCAATCAGCTTGATCCAGGCTCTGATTGGGCCCGCCCCCCTGGCTGGCCCCACCCCTGATCTGCCCCAACACCCGGATCGGGGGCGGGGCCAGCTGGCCAACTACCCTCGGCCCCTCCCCCCGGCTGGCCCAGCCCAATGGGCCCCCATCGGGGCCGGCCTCCCGGCTGGACCCCACCCATGCACGAATTCGTGCACCGGGCCTCTAGTATAAATTATACATTGTGTTGACAATCCAAGTGGGCCATTTCCTTTTTGATTAATTATACTTGTTCATAGAAATTTAAAACTTGACATTTACTTTTTTCTAGGTGAATCTCATCTTTTATTGGTTGGGGATCCTGGCACAGGGAAATCTCAATTCCTCAAATATGCAGCAAAGATTACACCAAGATCTGTGCTTACCACAGGAATTGGATCTACTAGTGCAGGTATTTTACATGACAATTTCATTTAATGTCACTACAGAAACTAATACAATTTTTTTTTCTTATTAAAAAGTACCTACAATATGATAAATTTCAAGCTAATTTCTGAGTTACTGCCAAAAATGGAAGGAAATATGTAGCATTTCTTTTGTAGCTCTTAAGAAAATATTTTAAAGGCTCCACCATCACTTATTTTCCAAAAACTTATTCTATACATCTTTTTGCATCTTAGTTTTGAATGATGCTATTCACTTTTCTCATAATCTAGTGATTATCTTCATACATACTTATGCATGAAAAAGTATGTTTTAGCTGGCATTGAGGACCCAGTGAGCAGAACAATGAAATAAATTAAATAGGAGGGTAAAAATTTCACTTTACATAGATAGATCATGTTGCGCTTAAGGCATTTTTATGCTCATAGATCTCACGGGCAATGGAAGCTCCTGTGGAAAATTCTTAGGTAGAAAATGTCTTAATATGTGAAAAGTGTCTTTTCATCATTGCATTGTGCAGCTTTATTCACACATTCTAATGATTCTTCAATAGTGCATTTAAAAGCCTTTGCAGATAGGATATCAAGATTTGATTACAAAGTGACTTTAGGAAAAATATATTTTAAAAGACATGTTTGATGCCATTTTGTATTTTTACTCCATTTTGACTGGGGAATTATTTCTCCTGTTCTTCTATAATGGGCCTTTGATTTTACACATTTTATAAATGTTATTTATTACTTGTCAGGGGAGCCTAACCCTGTGCTCAGATTTCTTATGAGAAGTGTATATTTTAAAGTTATCATAAAGCAGCAAATCTCCATTAATGGTCCTACATAATGAGAGCTCCATTCTAAGGAGCTGAACAAAGCATGCTCCTCCGATTTCTGAATGTTTTCTCAGCTCAGATGATACCCTCATTCCCTCCAACCTCCCCTTCGGTCTCTTCTGTGGCATATTGTTTGTTTTTATTTATCTTCCCAGGACACAGCTATTTACTATGATCAAAAAGGGGAAAAATAGTTCTAAACCTTCTAGTCATAATTCATATAGTGTCTGTAAATGAGGCTAAATGGGGGGGAAAAACTAGTTTCTCAGTTCCTAATGTTTAAATTCTAAATTTTTCTACTTTAATTTTAATATTTAAAATTATCTTATAGAACCATATTTTTTTTTAAATATATTTTTATTGATTTCAGAGAGGAAGGGAGAGGGAGAGAGAGAATCATTGATCGGGTGCCTCCTGCAGGCCCACAATGGGATCAAGCCCGCAACCCAGGCATGTGCCCTTGACATGAATCCAACCTGGGGCCCTTGAGTCCACAGGCTGACACTATCCATTGAGCCAAACTGGCTAGGGCATAGAACCATAATTTTTAATAATAGTTTTAAAGTCTCAAACTTCTGTGAAAATTGGCTGTCCATTTACAATAAAAAAACCTACCTCTCCGTTGTTTGTCCATACCAGTCTTTTTTTTTATTTATTTAAATACTCAGTCGTGTGTGTGGGTTGGGCATCATCCTGTGCACCGAAAGGTTGCTTGTTGGATTCCTGGTCAGGGCACATGCCCGCGGTGCAGGCTCAAAGCCCAGTAGGGGGCATGCAGGAGGCAGCTGATCTATGTTTCTCTCTGTCCCTCCCTCTCCCTCTCTCTCTAAAAATCAATTTAAAAAAAACTAAAACACACCTTAGCAGTGAAATATAATTGGTAATCTGGCTTATATATGCTTTATTTCTAATAAGCACATATCTTGCCCGTTATATTAATCACTGAGCTCTTTGTTGGAAAATATTACTTTTATTTTTATTTTAATACTTTTAACATTTGATTTTCATTGCAATTAGACAAAAATAAAATTTTTCTTTATAGTTTTGACAGTAGGATGTATTTTATTTTTATAGTCTATGAACTAGTGGATAGTATTTTAATAATCTGGTATATTAAATTTCAAACTTTAACGTTCAGCAAAATTTTGCTTCACAAATTCACTTTTAGAATGACAGGAAATATGTACAACTTAGATTCCATATTCAGACAAATGCCCTTTTCTCTTCCTCAAAATAAAAGCTTTAAAGTGTAGTATAGTACAAAAGTTTCCGATATGAAGGCACTGCATAACTCTGCATCATATGGCTGATGTCTTGCTTAGCAGCAAGAGCAACGAGAATATTCTACACTTAAGTTAATGGAGCATAAGAAACTTTTTAGGAAGGACCTAGCTCTTAACAAAGAAGAAGAACCTTTTGGCCCATTTAGTTTATGAATTCCTTTCCAAGACTGCTTTTAAAAAAACTTATCTGGAAAAGCTATCAAGAATATGTCAATCTTATTCTGCATGAGTGTTGGGGATAATGGAAAGAGTACTACATGTGTGAAGATATATACATTTCCAAAATAATAACTTACCTGTTAGGGTAAAGCTAAATATATTGCCCCAAATCCAGTTTTTATATAAATGCTAACAATAGATGATCTATGAAACAGTTTTAAAGAGTTAAGTTTATAGTATTATTATAAATCTAATGAACAGATCTAAGTCATTATATTCTCCTGATTTTAAACTGAGGGAGTTTGTATTTGCTCTTGACATGTTGATTGCACTGGGTAATGATGTATATGATTCATTAAGTGTTCTGATGTCCTAAACTCTCATAAAAACAAAAACCATAGCCAGAGGACTTTATAAAGAATTAACCACACTTGTTATTATCTTAGAAAACAAAATGAATGCTATCTAACATTACATGAACTACAATAGTAGCCATAGAAGGCTTCAAGATGGCCTGGAAATTCAGATTCTAAAGTTCTTGGTAGCATATAATTGATTTCAAGTCCCTTCTTTAAGGATATGCCAAAAAATAATGGAAATTCACTCCTTAAATTAAACCAAACTATGTTATTACAGGAAGAAACATTTTAGTTGAAGTGAACTTTGTTCTTTTGAAGGTCAGTAAAATAGTGGTCCAAAGATTATTGTCCAAGAGGCTAAGACATCTTTACAACCTGGTCCAGTAATTCATATTTCTTTATAAGTGCTTTAATTACATATAAAGAAAATAATATATATGATTTAATCAGATTAGTTTCAGAACAAATAAAATAACACATTAGAGAAAAATTACTTAAAAATAGTTGTATTTATATTCCACAATTTGCTCAAATACTGGTTTTCTTATAAACTTTCTACAGGATGGTTTTTAAACAAATTCTTCACATTGTGTCTTAGTGGGTATGACTTACAGAATTTCAGGGAAATAGTTCTGTGTTTTAATAGCTTAATTTGTACTAAAGAGATGGGAGGTGGTCACATGCAGTCCATGTGGGATTCTAACATAACATTTAGTGAGTTTTCTGACGTGGACCATCCCTTTGATGCTGAAGGTAATGCATCTGTTGAAAGAAGTGACTGTAGATTTGGATTACTGCTCTCTGCATCTTCCAGTTTTTCTGTGTTATCTTCCCAGTTAATGTGGAATCTTGTGACTCTGGGATTAGATGCCAAAATGTTCCTTTGAAGCTATAGGAAGAAGAAAATATATAAATCGTAAACATGAAGAAAGTTAGATCACCATATACAAACAGGAGCTTGATAGAATGGTTCTTTATATTAATACTCCACAAGGGCTAAGTTCATATACATACAAATGTATAAGTCAAAGCACCTAAAACATAACTAATAAAGAAGAACTAGGGCTGCTGCAAAGAAACTAGCCTAATGAAAATAAGAATTCATACTTATACTATCCAAGAAAATACCCAAGTCCTCAATACTTTTTTTTTTTTATGTTTTATTGATTTTTTACAGGGAGGAAGGGAGAGAGATAGAGTTAGAAACATCGATGAGAGAGAAACATCGATTAGCTGCCTCCTGCACATCTCCCACTGGGAATGTGCCCGCAACCAAGGTACATGCCCTTTACCGGAATCGAACCTGGGACCTTTCAGTCCGAAGGCCGACGCTCTATCCACTGAGCCAAACCGGTTTCGGCAGTACTTTTGTTTTTAAAAGGTGAATGTTTCAGAGGATGCTTTCTAGAGAGATATGTTGTCTCTTCAGTAATATTTCAAAGAGAATGAAAAATTCCCTCAAATATAACCTCTTGTTATTAGTGGCTTCCTACCTTTTTATTGTTATGGCTCATTCTTAAAAACAGTGTTCTAGCCCTGGCTGGTGTGGCTCAGTTGGTTGGTGCACTGTTCCATACACTGAAAGGTTGTAGGTTCGATTCCTAGTCAGGGCACAAACCTAGGTTGCAGGTTCAGTCCCTGGTTGGGGTGTGTATGGGAGGCAGCCAATTGATGTTTCTCTCTCACACCAAGGTTTCTTTCTCTTTCCCCCCCTCCCATCCTCTCTCTAAAGTCAATGAACATATCCATGGGTGAGGATTAAAAAAAAACCCCAACATTCTAATTTCTTCATTTTTTTCTATACAAGGTGCTGTGCCATACAGGTAACTAATAAATTGGATCAATGGAAGGTCCTACACCAGGATAAAAAAACATTCTAGCCTTATTACTTTCTACTTATGTAAATTTTCTTACATGGTAGTGTTATATTCAATCTCAAAAATCACTAGTCACTAAACTGTTACAGTTCCCAATGGAATCATAAAGTACTAATTATTTTTGAGAATATTGAATCATTGATTTCAACTTTTCACTCAGAAGCTAAGCTGTTTTCTATCACTAAAAATATTTAATACCTTTAGTTTAAACTTGTAAGAGTAGCAGATAAAACAAGGCATATAGATGTTCTGAGAACAGTGTTGATATGAAAAACAAACATAAAACTTCCTCCTGCAATTTTGAGAAGAGTTACAGACAAAACTATTATTGTATAATCAGTACAACAAACATGAATTTGAATCTCCTAAGGATTAAAATGAATAGAATTATGATGTATGGGAAATGCCATACAGAAAGTCATAAACAAAGGTCTGTTTTTCACAGGAGGCATTTTCAATTTCTGAAACCAGAGACTCAAGGTGCCTGACCAGCAGTACTT